AAGTGTGTAGATACAATTAACGGTTAATTTATTCTAAATTGCATTTACCACATCATTAAGTAAAACATTCGTCAATATGGCAGTTATTTGTGAAACAATCTTTCAAACAAATTGCATTCAATTTGTGTTTCTAATCAGCCAGTTACACAATGCAATGTGAGGAGGTCAGCTGGAACTATATCGTTTATGTACTATATCATCAGAACAGAGATTAGTCACAATTAGGTACCTAATCCATGTTATCTGTATATGTTACCACTATTGCTGTTCTTTTAAATGTGAAAGGACACCGAAATGTATAGAAGAATGCTGCTTTAGCCTTCTCTGGGGACAAATTATTATAATATTTGCTCATGCTCAAAAAGTCAAAGGATTTGCACTTTGTGCTATCCGTTTGTTTAAAGTGAGGTTGTTTGCGATCTAAATATAAACTTAACTTCAGCCGTTGCGTTCTCTATTAATGGACTCATACTTGAGTCCCTTTATGTGATAAACACGCACAGCTAATAATCAATGATATAACAACTGTGTGTACAGAACAAATAAGAAAAGAAACAAATATTCTCTGTCTGTAGTCGCATGTGCCAAGCAGAATACAAAGAGCAGATATGTGTGCTTTAAAGCCGGTGTCCTTAAAGGTCATTTATATTCATTTTTGACACACTGCTGTTACACAAAAAATAACCTTTCCTTTTGTTATTAAAATTCCCTTGCCACCAAACCTATTTAGTTCAGCGTATATAGTTATTAAAAACACTTTATTGGGATTTATGGAAGGTGGAGATGACTCCTTTTTTATTTTCTTAATTGGGGGGTCCCTTTTGCATAAACCCTTTCTCATTCTTGCTGTTTTCATCATCTGTGTTGCCCAGGGGAGTTGGGAAGCTACAAGGTAAGAGATTCTCAGTCTTTGTGCTCAGCCTGCACTGAAAGTGGTCCTCCAGACCATTTTGGCACTTATGCCACGCAGTACCCGCTCCTTTCCAAAACATCAGAGCACTCAGGTTCATCTCAGTAGTAAGAAAAAGCTCCTTATCCCATGAGCAAACCGAAGAAAGTCTGGAGGATTTCCCTGAGTGAAGTACTTTGCGAGGGGACCAGGGACCCAGCAGCTCGAAAACCTGCACCATATCTTCCAAATCTTACGATCCCTTTTGCTGTTTCATCCCAATTCAGTGAAAAAGACCGACAACTCCTATTTTCAAAGGCGAGAGCCATCCCACCTTCCAGGCTCCACCCTGCAATCCCAAAGGCGACCCTTTGTTATTTCAAAACACAAACCCACTAGTTGGCACCGCTTTTGCTTTCTCCTGGGCTTCCACACACGAGAGTCCATATGCAAAGGTTTGTCTTTCTCTTTTGGAAGCACGTTTTTCCTCGCTGGGTTTATAGCATTTGCAGCGGGCAAACCTGTGCCTCTGCCAGGAGCTGCAGCTGCACAAGTGGCTGTGCCACGCACCCGGTACCGGGTGGGTGAAGCGTGGGAGGAACCCGCGGCATGCACACATGCATCCAAGCTGTTCCTGGTTTACTGGAATAATCCAATGTCATCCTTAAGGAACTTCAGTAGCTATAGGATTTATACCGGAATAAAGCATATTAAACACTTGCAAATTTTGAGTGCGGCAGAACCTTCACCCGGCCCTCCTGGGGTGGAGCCTACCTCACACCAGAGGAAAACGTCAAGTCCCCGTAACCTGCCTGTATTTTCACCATCTACCTTCCTCGTTTGAGGGATAACGGGTTGACTCTGGATAGCTCATTAAGACAATTAAGCCGACTCTAGGTACGAGGAGTTTAGCGTCGCCCCCCCCCCCCGGCTCTCCCACCACGAGCCTTTCCCAAACAGCTCTCCTCCACCATTTCAAAGGCTGACTGCACCTCAGTTTTTTTTAAAAAACAGCCCTTTCACTGCTTGCAGGCACACGGCAGGGCCTGTTCTTCTCATTTACTTTTCTGAACGGCAGGCTAGCCGTAGGATGATGATGATAATCAATAATAATAATAAATAATAATAATAATAATAATAATAATAATAATAATAATAATAATAATAATAATGTGGCGGAAGCTACGCCCGTCCCCTGGGCTCAGAGCAGCGATTTCAGCAGCGGCAGCCCTGCTGCAGGAGCAAGCAGGACGCAATCTCTTCTTCTGCAGCGCCCTAATGAAGAGCCAGGCAGGCTTGATGAGACCTCGAGGACCTGAGCATACCAAAACTAGATTTTAATGCAGTCGAGCTGCCTGCATTGCAGCCTCCGGCAACGCGTGACAGTTGCCGCAGCCAGTGATGGACCTCCCGGCATTTGGCATTCGCGTTTTAGCTAGTCTGGCTCCCTCTCTGCCCCCCCCCGCCGCCCTCCGCACTGGAGCGCAAGGGGAGCCTTACACCGAGGTGCAACGCCGCGGTGTAACCTCATTCTCCAAGGGGAATCTTGAAAGAACAACTCTGGTCCTCCCACATGTCAGCCTGGCTGAAAACAGGTTTGAATATAGCCTTGTTCTTAAAATCCATACACATAAAATACCAAGACGCTGCCTCCAGCGAAAAATCAGCTGAGGCGGAGGAATCGCGCTATTTTGGTACCGCTCCTGAGGGGGAAACCGGCTCCCCTGAAGCGCCGTTTTGTTTTGTTTTGTTTTGTTTTGGGGGGGGGGAACGCGATGAGCACCAGCTTCCAGGCAGCCGGCTGGGGACCGGCAAACGAGCTGCGAACAAGCTGGCCCCCCAACCACTCCCCACCCCCGGGGCCCTCTCCGAGCCGCCGGTAGCCACCCTGGGCTGGGGTGCACTGGTGGTCCTGGCCTGGGGTGCACTGGTGGTCCTGGCCTGGGGTGCACTGGTGGTGACCGCGGCACTGGTGCGCGGGGAAGGGGGCTGGGGCGGCGCAGGGCACAACCTGCTTTTTTTTTTTTTTTTTTTTTTTTTTTTTCTCCCGCTGTGGGAAAACGGCTCCGAGGGGTTTGTCCGACCGACCCCCACGGGACCAGGGTACTCCCTGCTCGCTTTGCTGTGCCGGCCTGAAATACTGGTGCCGTGGTGGTGGTGGTCACCCCGGCAAGCAGGGGGACAGATCGAGCAGGATCCCCAGCTGGCTTTAAGCAGATCCGCTGGGATGCTTCATTTCCACTCGGGTCGTTTGAGGTGGAGTTCCGTGATAGATGTTCACGCTTTGGGGATTAAAAGAGAGGGAAACGACCGGTAACCTCAGGTGCTCGCAGAAAACCGTGTCGCGTTTCTGGTGCGAAACCACTCTAGCGTGAAAGTCGCCTTCGGGTTCCTCGCCTCTTAGAGTTGCGATACACTGGCTGCTGCCTCTGCGGTTCCCCGTGCACCTAAGGCAAGCGCTCGGCCTTAACTGAGGGGCATAAACCGCGAAAAATACAGAGAGGGGGTGATATAGGGGAAATGGAAGCACAGAGGTAGGGAACAGCTAGAATAGAGGCGATGATGCCTCTGCATCCTTGCTGGGTGAATGCCGGAGTGTTACGCCGCCGCACCGCGCATCCCTTTTTAAAGTGGGAAGATTAAAAAAAAAAAAAAAAAAAAAAAAAAATCACAACTATTTTCTTTAAAGGGGAATCGCAGTTTACTCCCTGCGCCAGAGTGCTGACCCAAATAAATGTGTGCTTTTTCATGCAGGCAGCAGAACCCCTGTCTGCCCAGCTAAGAGCACGATGCCCGTTATCACCTTACGTGCCGAAGCCGTGACGTCCCAGCAGTGCAGGCGCCGGGATCCACGGCCCCTTCCCCGCCCCACCCGCCGCTCCCTCACGCGTGGCCGGAGCCCTCGCCTCCCTCCCGAGCCACTTCATTTTGGGGAGCGCGTCTTCCACTCGGCTACCGAACCGCTCGCCACCTGCTCACGCACGAAACCCGCAACGGCAAGACGGTGATGCTGCCATCGCCGCGGCTTTAGGAGAAGGGGATGGCTCTGCCCCTCAGCCGTTTTGCAGCACCTACGTTTGGAAAACGAGCAGCGGAACGGAGGGATGTGCAGCCCCGGGGATCAACGAGGTGCCGCCGACCCGACCGGCCCTTCGAGCCTAAGGAAGCACCCGTGGTGCCCCCGTGATAAACACTTCAAAATAGTCCGACCGAGCTTCGTCTCCCTCACCGGGCCTCGTGTTTCAGGTTAATCAGCACAGCTAGAGCACAACCTAGCAATCCCTAAATACAAGGAGATGAGTTGAGATATACGGTGTCTCAGCAGTCACTCTGATTTTTTTTTTTGTTTTGTTTTTTTTTTTTAAAAAAAGTTTAACTGACCCTTCTGGTCACCAACTTTCTTTGTGGTTCACTGTAAGGATCGTTCTCCAAGAACAAAAAAGAAATCTCGGAGCTTTGATAGAGACTCTGGATGAAATTAAGAACTTCAAACCCCAGATTTTTGAAAAGAAAAACAGATGTCCTGTTTGTTGAGTATAAATAACTCCGTACGTGGAAACCTTTTTTTTTCTTTTTTTTTTCTTTTTTTTTTTTTACGCTGCATTAAATTTTATTTAACGCAGGGTGCATTTAAACTGTTAAAAAAAAAAAAAAAAGGAAGGGGGGAGGCAGCCAAATATGTGGGTGACAAACCTCTAAATCTTTTCCCTTTTCGAAAGAAACAGGCAGACGGGAAACCCTTCATCTAGATGAAAGTGTTCAGTGTGTTTCCTAGCAGACCTGGCGAGCCTGCCCTGGTCAGGGCGGCAGCGAGGGGGCTCCGCAGCCGCCATGGGGGGAAGCGGCGAGAGGGGGGGGCGGCCGCCGGGCCCGGCCCGCCGCGGGGCGCAGGGGCAGGTGCCCGCCGAGGGCGCTCGGCTCCGCTCGGGCCCCTCTCGGGCCCCGCTCGGGCCCCGCTCGGGCCCCTCTCGGCTCCTCTCGGCCTCGTTCGGTCCCTCTCGGCCCCCTCTCGGCCTCGTTCGGTCCCTCTCGGCCCCCTCTCGGCTCCACTCGGCCCCGTTCGGCCCCGCTCGGCCCCGCGCAACTCGGAGCGGCCGCCGGGCTGACTTACGTGAGGACGTAGTTAACGCTGACGATGCAGTGCGGGCGGGAGGAGCGGCTGTTGTGCACGATGGTGGCGTAGCTCTGCACCCACACCCAGCCGCCGTGCTTGGCCAGGAAGCGGTAGTACTTGGTGGTCACTTGCCCTTTCACCAGCACTGCGGGGACAAAGCGGGGAGAGGCCTCAGCGCGGCTCCCGCCTCCGTTCCGATCGGCCCTGGGAAGAGGGTGCACCGCCACCCCACCGCCCCCCCAGGTCCCCGTGGGTGAGGAGAGGAGCTGGGAATCCCTTAGCATCCCGTGGACTGAAACCCCCGTGGGCGAGGGTGACAGGGACCCCTTGGGCATCCCCACGCCAGAGCGGATCTCTCCCACTCGTTAGCAAAGCCTGTTCGGGGACATTGGTGGGGCAGGGTGAATACACAGAGGGGGGGTTGAACCCCCACCTGCTCAACACCCCGACATATCATCATCGAGATTTAATCTGGTTTGGGGTTTTATCTCTTCTCGTTACGTTCTCTGTAAAGAAACTTACCGGAAATTCATATCCTTTTTATTCATCTATCTATGTATTAATGTCATCATGATATCAAAATAGAATAAAGAACAGCTCTCCGAATCGGGCTCACTACTGCAGTCAAAATTAGATACACAGATCACATTTGTGAGACTTGGTGGAAGTGGAACAAAAGTATTCGAATTTCACTGGCATGGCTTTTTGGAGCAAGAAAAAAGGGTTTTTCCTAACAGGAATTTAAAGTGAACTGAGCATCTGAGGTTTGTGCAGGGGAGTCCTTGTCCTACAACCAGGAGCCAAAGAGGGAAAAAATAGCCTTTCATTGCCGAGCCCTTCCACCTCCCTCCTGCCTCCAGCTCGGAGTTCAGTCTCTAACGACTTGTTTCATTAAAACCTGCTGCAGATTTTGCTCATTCTCCCCTCCCGTGAGCTGGCTTTTCGCGTTCCGACCTAGAGATAAACCCTAGCAGACCCAAAGTCCCTCTGCAGAGGGAGAAGGGAGATTGGGGGTTGGAGGGGGGGGGAGGAAGAGGGGCAGGGTCTCTACAAGAACATCATCTCCTTACACAAGTGATGGGCACATCGCAGGTGGAAGGTGTCACAGCCGTGGACGTGATGGTAAAGTGTCTTCTCTATCAAGTCCTGGGGCTCGTAACCTGTTAGCTCAGCTACCCTGCAAGAGACACAAGCAGCAAATCTCCGTGGGTGAGAGGACAGGAGAGAAGGCCTGGGGGAGAAGAAGGGAGGGGCTAAGGGAATAGATTTGGAAATAACCCCAGCTCTACCTGGAATCTAAGAATATGAGCTTCATGTCTAGGCTGGCCCGAAACATGAACATATTGCTGTGGAGCTTGATCTCTGTCACGGCGCTGGGCGGCAGCGAGTGGCCCACGGCCACCAAGCCAACGTTTTGGTAGCAGCCGTCGAAGGGGGACATGTCCAGGCTGTACTGGCGGATCTTCAGGTACCCGCTGCAGTGAATGACCTGCCGGAGACACGGGAGAGCTCGGAGCCTGCCCAGCAGCGGGGGAGGGGGTGCTGTGGCAGGGGTCCCTCCCCGCCGAGGGGACCGGGACAGACACCCACCCCCCCCCGCCGAGGGGACCGGGACAGACACCCACCCCCCCCCCCCGCCGCCCCGGCCGGTGCCGATGCGGCCGCCCTGGAGCTGCTGCTCCGGCAAAGCGGCACCGTCTGCGGGTTTTCTGCTCTTCTCTTCGGGTTGGGGCCGGGGCTTTTCCGTACGAGAGTTCAGCACTGATCTGAGGCCCATTAAAAGCAACGAGATTTTTTTTTTTTTTTTTTTTTTCCACTGACTTAAGTGGTTTTTGGACCACCTCCTAACTACGCTTTTATTATTCTTCTAAAAAGGAAAGACGCGGAAGTGCCAAGCCAGTTACAACTTGGTAATGAAGAGTGTATGCGTATGAGAGAAAGAGTTTACATGTGTGCATATGTCACATGTGTAAGATATGTCTATTAAATAGAGAGAGCAGACGATATCCGTAGCCAGAATGTATCTTTGGACGTAGATTTAGGTACATCTCCTAAATGTATCCTTGCATATGTCTGCTGTGTACCTCGGTCTTACTTGTCTATAATTACTCTTCCTGGAGTAATTTCAACAGATGTTCTTGTTCTACGACACGTTGTGGCTCAACATCTCCTTGCGTGAGAGGTACCCACCGCTCTTTGGAGTCGTGCAGCAGACACAAAAGCGGGGAGAAGGCAGGAGAGCAGGGGACTCTCCTCACCGAGGAGCAAAACCGTGTGAAACACCCGGGCAAAACCCTTGACTTGGAGAGCTGCTCCTGAAGCTGACGAGTTACCCAATAAAGAAAGAAATTAACCCCGGGCTCCCCTTGTGTCATCTCACAGCTTCCACAGACACCTCGGGACCGTCAGTGGTTGTGCGAGGTTCAGTTTTAAAAAAGCGAAACAAACAAACAAACAAAAATAAATCCCCACGGGCAACTCGATTGCTTGGTTTTGTGGTCTGAGCTCTTTAACCTGAAACTCCGAGCGAAATTCGGGCTCTGAACCACATGAAAGAGCACCGGGCTGGGACAGCCCCCCCCCCGCGGGCAGAGGGCTGGTCCCCACTCCTGTCCCCGCCGTCCCCGCCCTCCCTGCGTGCCCGGGGCTGCCGCAGCAGGGCCGGGGGAAGGCTGGGGGTGTGGGTGTGAGGAGGGGGGTTTCCTGGCCGTGGGCACGCACCTTGTAGCCCCCGCAGGTCAGGCCCGCGTTCCTCTTGGCCAGGACGCACTTCATCCTCAGGAAAAAGGACCTCTCGATCTCGTACTCTGGGAAGAGGGGGGAAAGGCAGAGCTGGGGTGAGCCGCGGGCTCCGCCGCCCCTGCGCGGCCCCTTCCGCGGGCCGCGCAGGCCAAGCGCGGGGTGCGGAGGGCCGTGTACTTTACCCTGCACAAAGTGCGAGTGGTAGGGCTGGTGGGCCGTGAGCACCGCCGTCATCTCATCGTGGTCGGCGGGGTGGATGTACTCGTAAATGCTATTGCCGGTCAGCTCTACCTGTGAGAGAGGAGGAAGAGGAGGAGGGGGAGGAAGGGGGGGATGGGGGGGGGGGGTGGTGGTGTTCATCGCCGCTCACCTTCCCCGCATGCACCGCCCCTGTCAGCCGCGGGGGGGGCAAGCAGGCAGGCACCGGGGGCTTAGCGGCCCCCCCCCCAGCGTACCTGCGACAAGCCCAGGTGCACCGAGGCGGTCTCCGAGATGTACATGATCTTGCCATCCGGAGCCACGACAAATATGAAACCGTCCAAGGTCTGCAGAAAAGGTTTGAGGGGTGAGGAGTAGAAATATAGCAATAGATAGACAGACAGACCCACCCGTGAAGACAGGTAGATCCATGAAGTACCTGTCCCTCGGATTTATTTTAGCAAACCGGCAATCCTTTTCAGCCTGTGATTATTCAAAAAGTTGGAAGAAAATGAGCAAGTCCTGGACAGGAATCCCTCTTAAACCTCCTGGACCTCTGAGATACAACCCACTTCTCAGGGGGGCCGAGCTCAGAAGTAATGCAAAGTACCTAGGCAGCATCTAAGAACAGGTCCTGGCTGGCCAGTGATTAATAAGTCGGTCCCAGAAATCCTGAATACTTCTATCCCGTTTCAAATGTCACTGGGGGCTTAGCGCTTGGATATTTGTTAAGGAGACTTTAAGCAAGCGGGGAGGATCTAAAACTCTCCACAGTGTAAATAAAGTGACGAGATAATTTGTCTCGCACGTTTCAGCAGACATAGATGGGACTTCTGGGTGTGCCGAGGGCAGAATAGGCCCCCAAAAGGCCACATAACCCCACCAAAAATGCATGGTGATGGCAATCGCTAATATTCCTTAGTATTTCAGACCGCAGTGAGTTTTCAAATGTGTCCTACCTGATTTGTGTCTACGCAAATTTCTGTGTCTGCTGAGCCCTTTCGTCCAGGAGAGCCTTCCCCAACGTGTCCCTAGAACCTCCCCCTCTCTCTACACCACCCACCCTGAGCTTCAGCACATCGACGGGACTTGTCCCCTTGTAAAGAATTTGGGAAAACGCCACCATGCTCCTGCATCCCGGCACACAGCGTGAATCCTTCGCTGCGCACCCTGCGGTGGGCGATGCCGGGGCAAAGGACCCGGAGGGACCAAACCACAGCCCCCGTTACAACGCGCGACATTCCACCCCCACGGCTCGTCTTTCTGAAGTTGTTCCCCTCCCGCCCCCCTTTTTATTAAACACGGGAACAGTTAAAAATTAATCAAGGTGGCAATTAAAAGCTCAGAAGAGGGAATGACTTCTTTAATCATTAATACCATATGGCTGGCGTTTCCAGACTAGTACCTGCAAAAGATGGGATCCCAGTTCCCGTCCAACATTATCCAGCGGGCTGGTTCGGCTAGAGTGGCCCCAGGCTTCTCCAAGTCCTGTTTATTTAAGACACACAAAAAAAAGTAAGGTGAGGAGATGAAAAATTGACTCGTGATGGCCTGACGGAGAGGAACATTTATTTTTTAATATTTTGCTTGTAGTCGCCCATGTACATATAATCTTTGGGAATCTAGATGTAATTTCGTTGCACAGAGGAGCCTCTTCTGTGGATTTTTTTTTTTTTTTTTTAAAGACCTAACTCTCATGAGAGAAAAATACCAAAATACCTACTTTGAGTTAATGGTGAAATTCATTCCTAAAACCTCAGTTGAATTAGCATGCCAGATAAAAGGGCTTTTTAGTGCTGCCTTCGGCTGGTGGGAGCTGGCTCCTTGAACTTCAGGGAAAGCCGTTTCCTCCTAACGTCACCGAAGGGATCCTGGACAACACTGAGAGCGATTTAAAATGAAAGAAGGAGGTGTGCTGGGGGAAGCCTTTGATGTGGAGTGAAGGATGCGGTTAACGTGGCACGACGGTGTCTGGGAAGAGAAACCTCTTGGTGGAGGCCAGGCCCGCGCTGTGGATCGGTCCTGCCAGCCCCTGGACTCTGCCCGTGGCGGGGTCGTGGGTCTTGTCCCCGTCCCGTCCCCGTCCCCATCCCCCCCCGCCCACCCCCACCCCCCCCGCAGAAGGCAGAGCTCGGCCACAACCTGCCGGGGCATTAGCCAGCAGGTTTGGGATGGGAAGGGACAAGGATGGGTTTAGACCCTCTGCTCGCCAAAGATCACTCTCCAGTTTGATCTGTGACCTCCTGCCTCTTTCTGTCGTGGGGGCCACCGTCCCCTCACCTGGAAGGTTTGTAATTACTTATTTGGGGAGGGAAAGAGGAGCGACCAGATGCGACTCATCCAGCCCTCCCCCCGAGCCCCGTGTGAAAACGCTTTCCCTTTCAGTGATCCCCACTCAAACCCACGACGAGCGAACTACCTGTCGCTAAGCCGAGCGCAGTTTCACGGCTGCGGCAAGGCGCTGCGGGGCGGCCCACGCAAGTCACAGGCCGACGGCACGGCTCGCCCTCCCCCCTGCCCCACGAAGCCGGGACTCCGGGCTTCACCTCCCTCCCCACCATCCCTCCTCCCCGCTGCTCGGGCGGGCGGGATGGGTCTCTCTGCAGGGAGGGACGATCCTGTCTCCAAACAGCCCCCTCCAGAAATTAATCTCGCCAGACCTGTCTAATGTTTCAGACGCCGCTTGTTTTCTCCTATGCAAAGTGAGGAGAAATAAAAGCCAGATGGCAACTACTCCACCGGAGTAAAACTCTTTATGGGCGATGCCTTTTCACAATGTTGCTGCTGAAATATTTTAAACGGGGCAGTTAAAACCTTTTACGCTTATGCCATGAAATAAGGCTCAGCCTGACACGCACGGCCACTGTGATAAAGTAAAAGGGAGTTAAAAAATACGAATCCCGATTGATGCTGGGGGTGCGGATCGCCCGGGGGAGGCGAGACCCGAGCCGGCGGGGTGTCCCTCCCGCCGGGAGGGCTCGGGGAAGGCAAGACCCCGTTTTCCGGCTATTTCGAGGCAAACAGGCGAGGTGGCGACAGCAGGCAGCCGCGGGCATCCCTCGCTATTGACTGCCTTCACCTGGGTGTTTGCGGGTCTAAACAAAGCTAACGATTTCCTCCACGCTGTTCGAACGGGGCATCCCACGGCGGCCCTCGCCCCCCCCACCCCACCCCCCCCCCCGCCTCCGAAGCGCCGGAGCGATGCGCCCCTCCTCTTCTCTCCCCCCTTCCTCGTCCACCTCTTCACGTCAATTTATCTCTTCACTGCTCCTACACTTCTCTCCTTTCTCCTTAACTTCACAGCCCTAAAAAGGCAGGGACACCCCTCCGGCCTGGCCCCCATCCCGCAGCCCCCCGCGTGCACCAAGGGTGCCAGCCAGAAACAGGCTAGTTCCCATTAATTCCTCCACGCCAATTAACGGGGACCCAGTGACTTTTTTTTTCCGGAGTCCCCGAGCTTCACTCCTCCCTGGGCCCTCCGGAGCGGGTGTCCCACGGCGGGGATGTACCGGGGGCTCCGCAGGCACCTCTGCGCCCCCCCCCCCCCCCCGCCCTTCCCCGGGGAGCCACCCGCCAGGACGGAGGGTCACCTCCGCCCCTCGAAATCAGCAAGGAGCTGGCAAATCTTGCACAGCTTCCCGGGAAAGAGAGAAAAACCCGCTGCGCTTTTTTTTTTTTTTTTTTTTTTTTTTTCCCGAGCTCCTCCGAGGTTTCTCTGCCGTGGAGCCAGGACGGCCCGTTAGAGCAGAGGCGGCCAAGGCGGCTCCTTGCGACGTCCCCCCACCCGGAGGGAAATCTGAATGGCAGGTTTCTGGAGTCGGCACTAAATCCGCTCTCCCCGCCTATGATTTAAGTTGCTTATTAATGGAAGTTTACGGCTCTAGTTCTTCTTCTTCTAAAAGGGAAAATAACCCGACGCCGGCGGGTTAATGAACAGCTCATGGGCATTGCAAGTTCACCCCCCCCCCCCCCCCCCCCGGGGAAGGCGGCTCTTCACGGGGCGCTGAACTCCTCGCTGTGTTTCAGGTGGAAACCCCGCGTTGCTGGGCTGTGTCTGGTGGTGGTTTATAATTAAACGTTTTCGCTTGTCTACCTGAACCGGCTTTTTGAAATCCTATCACATGAGACCATTCTTTGTACTTCCCAGATGTTTCAGCACTTTCAAGTTGGAGACTATTTCTATTCATTGCCAAGCCCAGCCTCTTCCAAATCGACGGGGCTTTCCCGGTACCCCTTAAATACTGTTTTTTAAAGATTATACGAGAAAACCTCTCCATTAATATTCCTTTTTATTTCCCCCTCCCTCCCGCCCCTCCATATATTCTCTTTAACTTCCAATTTCCTTTTATCGAGGGGGCAAACTGTGATTTCTTGCACTTGACCTACCGCAGCAAATTCTGCAAATCCTTTGATTGTCTATTTAAAACAAAACAAGGAAATCAGCTCTCCCTTTTGCTTCAGGATTACGCTTGGAAACAAGATCTAAAGATTCTCTTGTAATTTGGAGAGCCAACAGCATAATAGGTTTGGAATAGAAACAAGCAGCTTTGTGAGGGGAAGGATAACTAAATCGTTTTTAGGCAAAGGATTTTCCCAGCTAAAGTGGCCGAAGACAAAGCAAAACATAATCTATTTTGGAAGATTTCCAAGATATGCCACATTAACCTTAGCAGATAAAATTTGTTTTCTTCCCTGCGCCCCCTCCCCCACCAAGGTCTGGTTTACCATATTTACATAAGTAGCCTTAGAAGGGATGTATCTATTATGGATCTAAGGAGCGAGCGAGCTCACATTTCATCTGGAAACAGAGGCGAAGTTTTACTGTTGCTTAATACTTGATGCCTTGTAGAACCATTTCCATTTAAATACCCCCGACCCACGGATTACCTCAATGGACTGGCTGCATGGGTTTTGTAATTTCCTGAAAATGAGATTTCGATTTATAAAACAAGAAACCAATTAGTAACCAAATGAGGCGAAGTAGATCCACTAAAATTGACCTAATCCCACAGGCACCATTTAGGCCAGTTCTTGGCGAATGAATGATGAGCAACCGTCTAGCATAAGCTCAAGGCATCATCCAGCTGTGTTATTCAAGCAGCAAAAATAAACGCATCGAGCTTTTCTTTCGGAATGGATTTGATACTCTTGACAAAATATAGATTATAGGCTCCTATCTAACAATCTCCTACACGCGAGGATTTTTTTTTTATTATTATTTGTTTGTTTGTGTGGTTGTTTTTTTTTGTTTTTTTTTTTTTTTTTTTTTTTTTTTGTTTCCCAGGGAAGATAAACAATTTGGGCCACAAGAAAGTGTCCGCTGCCTCGTCATCTATCAGCGTGCGTCGAGACTGTGCGGATCCTGCGAGGAGCGAGGAGCGTTCCGACTCATCGGTTGGCCCAGCACTTCCCAATGGAAAACCACTGCGCTTTCCACATCAAAAAGCGTCTCCAACGGTTTCGTGGGGTAGCTACACCGGCGAGTCCATGGGAAATGCCTTCTCCCCGGCCGTGCCCACCCCCCCGGCACTCGGCAAGCCGGTCCCCACGGCAGCCTGTGCCCCCCACGCCAGGCCCACAGCCAGCGCTGGGCTGCGGTGGCCCTGTCCTTCCCCTCATCTTTTGATTGATGCAAGCCTTGATGCCGGCAGCCAATGGAGGGGTTGGGTGGATATCGTCCCTACCCAGTGGCGATATTGTCGCAAGACGCTCCTCTGTCCCACGGAAGGGGGAAGAGATTCCTCCATCATTTCTAATTCGATCTAGGCAAAGACGGAGGAAGGCAGGCGCAGGGAAATGAGACTCCAGGAGGCCTGGGCAGCTCCTTGGCCCTGGTTGATCTCCGGGTTACTTGTCCCTCCGTGAGCATCTGCAGCGCAGAACCCACCTCGACCCCCTCCTTTGTCTGGCAATAGCAAAGGGGGGGCGGGGGGTGGACGGTGGGGGTGGGGTGGCCAGAAGATGCAAGCCCTTATCTACTTTGTGTTGATTTGCCGGCTTTTAAAAGAGGTGTACTACGATTTCCCCAACGGACTACCCGTCATGAAATCCCAGCGCAATCCGGATTCACGGTCGCGAAAACAACGGCAGAGCGGGCGATTTGACGTCCCCGTTTAAAAATCCCTTAGTGGAGAGCCCAGCCTGAGCTCCAGATTCGCTTCTTTTTTTTTTTTTTTTTGGGGGGGGGGGGGGGGGGGGCAGGCTTTGAGGGGCGGCTACCTCCGGGGGGGGGTGCGAGGTGTTTGTGAGCCCCGAGGGACCCCCACCCCCCCCCGGGGACTTGCCCCCGCGCCCTGCCTGGCCGCACCGCGCCTCACCATGCGGAGAGGCCCACGGGCAAGGGTAGGGATGCGAAGCCCACGGAAACCGTGGACGCCGGGTAGATGCTCGCTCAGAGACGGCCCCGTAGGCAGAGAGAGGGTTTTTTCTCCGGTTGCTGACCGTGAGAAGAGGGAGAGGCGCCGGGGGCTCGCCCGGACTCTTGCTTA